TATGGCCTTGCTCAGGCCCGATCAGCCTTGATGTCAATGGTACCAGGAAGATATACGATTTGCTGGAAAGATTTAACTTTCAAACGCAAAAAAAAATGCAGTTTGCAAAAAGTGAAAGTTTCGTGAAGTTGCAGTTCGAAAATGGCCTTGCTCAGGCCCGATCAGCCTTGATTGGCGTGGTGCGAGGATAGGTAGGTCGTTTAGATTAGGTTAGGACTAACCCTAATTAGCGCTAATTAGGTATACCCGTGATTAGGGATTTTCCTAATTGCTCGATATGGAGAAATGTCACAAACCTAAAATTATAATTGAAACGACCTAATTAATCATGAAAGTACGAGAAAAGAAAAAAAAAATTGCAACTTGCGATTTAATGATAACAGAGTGCAGGTATTGACAATCAATCAATCAATCAATCGATTAATGGTGAGTCATCCAATGCTGGTCTGCTTCGATACCAAACTGTTGCATACTCGTGAAACACTTTCACAGTCATAAGCATGGCGCAGATTCCCAGAACCGACCAGATAATACAGAGTTTATACAAATGCAAGCGGAAGACTTGAGATACCTTTGGACTGACTCGCTACAATCGAAACACTCAAACATTCATCAGGGTGTGAATCCCCTAGCCTTGAGTATAGAGGAAGGGCCAGGGGCTGAGATCATACACAGACGAAGGGAGAGAGGAGATAGAGACGAAGGAGGAGGAGAGGGAAAATGACATCAACTCAATGTTTCCAAAGATGGTATCTTGAACTGTTAGAAGTGACGAAAATTCGAAATGTCGCGAATGACAAGTCTCACAATATCCCAGATGTCGACCTCACAATGTCAAGTACATATCCGGAAGGAAGATGAAATTAGATCCTGAACTAGTCCTCAATTCGTAGTCCCAGTTGTCTCATATGTCATCAAGATTCGTAACCATCTCCCATACTGCAGCAGTCCTGTAGGAGAAATAGAAGTAGACTTAGACTTGAGAAGGTAGGAGGGGGGATAGATAGATAGATAGATAGATAGATAGATAGATAGAGAGAGAGAGAGAGAGAGCTGGGGCGGAGGAACAGAGGGAGAGAAGGCAGAGCCTTTCTCCCGATACCTGACTGGTAACGATGGCGCGGCAGGGCCGCCGCGCTGTTCCTCTCGCTGTTGCGCTCGCTGTCTCTTGGTTGCTCTCGCTAACGCTGCTGTGCTGCGTTAATCTGCTTAACGTTGTCCAGCTGCACTAATCCTGAAGACTAACTCTCATTAATACTAACCTCCTACTGAGGCTGGTACCCAGCCTTTTGTAGTGCTGGGCCGACCTCCTACTCGCTAGTACCTACCGGCCTGGACCATTGATCTAGATCAACGGTCCAGTTTTGAAACTGGTTGGCGCCAAACTGTGGCAGCCTCTGAACCGCTGCCGGTAGGTCCTAGGCTGGACCGGTACCGGCCTTGTGGCCGTTTGCCCTGGGCCTGCCTGAACTGCCGTGGTCCAGGCCCCTTTTTGGGCCTCATCTGAACCGTCGTCCCTTAGGCCTACCCTGCCTATCTGGAACCGGGCCCTAACTGGGGCCCGTGTGGCTCAGTATGCCACACGTGGTACGCTGGTGTGTCCTGCTGACGTAGCCTGCTGACGTGGCAACTCACCAATGCCGCCGCAGGGGGTACCCGATGATAGATAGAGAAGGTAAGACCAGAGGTGGCAACAACATAGGTGGGGAGGGGTAGGTGGGGTAATCACCCAGATAACGTCCAGATAAGGAGCCACTAATCAAACAAGACAAGTTCGAACTTTGCAAAAAAAATTTCGAGAAAAATAAATTTTGAGTTTTGCAAGTTCAGTAGGTCTCCGAACCTCCCTTGAAGTGCGAAAGTATCAATTAAAAAAAAAAATTCGAACTTCAGACTGCCAATGACTATCAGTGAAAATCATAGAACTGCGAAAAGAAAAAAAAAAAATTCTGAAAACAAATAACAAGTATTCGGATTTACCATGGCTCTGGCAGACCTTGTTTCTGCTTGTCTTTATTTATTTGACTGTTTGAGTGGTTCACCATTTCTGACGCTGAGACAAAAATTGAGGGAGGAGAAACTTCCACTAACCCTCCTCAGGTTCCTCTCTCTCCTCTGGAGCAGGCTCTGCTTGAGGCCGAGCAAGCTCGCCTCAAGGCAGAGGCCAGATCCAACGTTTGAAAAAAGAGATGGAGGAAGCCCAGGAGGCTAGTAAGAATTAAGAGAGAAGGAGACCGATACGCAAGGATGTGGAGAAGGTTGTCACGAGTGGTGCATCCAGTCAGTACATTAAGGATACTACTGAATTAGTGCTCTTAACAGACACCATCAACAGGTCCTACTTTTCTAACTGGGACCAAAGGATACTTGCCCTCGAGACCCAAGGTTCTGCCATAGACCGCAAGGTTGACAAACGGGCAGCAAGCCTTGAGTCCCTGACGACGAATGTGAACAGCATTTTGCAGCATCTACAGCTACCTGTCCCTTCTCCCAAACCTCCTCAACCTTCCCCAGCGCCCTCCACACCATCTCACAATCGACCATCTTCACCTGCTGGTTCTCATGTGTCCACTACCTCTGCCGCCTCTGGTACATCTGATCAGCGGCAGCCCAAGCTGACACCACCTCCCATGTATTATAGGGAAGACCCCAAGGTGGATGTTTCAGATTGGGTTACTGCTATGCAGGCATACCTGGGCAACTTTGTATGTCCAGAGGTGACAACGGTAGGGACTATTTTGGGTCGTCTGGAGAGGACTGCACTTAAGTGGTGCACTTCCTCTGCAACGAAACAGAATTTGCCCATGGACAAATGGGCACATCAGTTGAAGGTGGAGGGGTTGCTGCAGGCCCTGCGAGACCGGTTTGCAGACAGGGAACATGCCCGAAAAGCAGCAGATAAAATAATGCTGCTGGGCTCACGCAGATTTGAGGGTTCCCTGTCCAAGCTCTACAACATGTTTGAGAGCTTGACAGCTACTCCCAGTCTGGAGATGAGTGAGTCTGACCATCTCGCTCACTTCCTGCGCGCAGCGCCTCTAGATCACTCCATTGCTTTGTACTCTCAGGGCCACAAGGACTGGAGGTCCTTCGGCAAAACGGCCTTGGACCTGGAAGTCCCGGCTCAAGGTTCAGGAACCTTCTGAAGGGAGGAGGAGACCCTCTTCCAGGGGACAGCGCAGGAAGAAGGGTGCTCTGTTGGCTGTTGACACCGGTTCAGATTCTGATGCATCTCAGCGTGGCAGTCCTCCATCTTAGACTGCATCAGCATCAGTAGTTGAGCCAGCCATTCTTGCCCTGGCTGAGAACCTTGCTGCAATTTTCAAGGGAAAGACTGGGAACAGCAGCAGCAGCAAGGGTTCAGCCAGCCAGAAGGGGAAAGGGAAGGGACGTGCCGCTTCCCCTCAAGCCCAGAGAGCTAACTTACCACCAGACGTCCATTGGCCAGTTAACGTCATGGATCCTTCCACCCTTCCCTGGAGAGCGCTCAGAATCCAGGAAGGGCAGTGGCAGAAAAGGAAGGAATGCGAAGTTTGTTTTTGCTGCGAGGGGGACCGCTTCCTGAAAGACTGTCCCCATATACCACGCAAACCTGGTTCTAGTTCAAAAAACTAGACCAGCAGAGGGAAGTGGAGTTAGCAGCTCCCTCCACTTGTGCTGATTCAGATTCTGACGAGTCTGAATCTGCATCTACCCTCACTGACTCTGTTGGAGTTGCTGAGTTAGGACCCTTCACTTACATGGACCCTGACCTGGATGAGACGTGGCAGGAAGATAGTCAGACTTTCGCTGATCTTTTCCTGTCTTTGCAAAAAAAGAAAAAGCATAAATCAGACCTCATCTTGTTGCGACCCTCCATCCTGGGAGCCAGGATCAAAGGCCTACTAGGTTGTGGGGCTACGAGAAACTTCATCTCTCCCAAAGTTGTCAGCAAGTTGCATTTGGATGGGAGATTGGTGAAGTTGCAACAGCCACTGGAAGTCCGTATTGGGGACTCCTCCACAGTCCGGATTACCTCTGCTGTCAAGAACCTACTCGTTATCTTTGACAAGCAGGAGAAGGTCAGGCAGCGCCTGAACTTCTATGTGCTCCCTAACATGCCTTTTGATCGTGTTCTCCATGCAGTGGCTAGGGGCCACTAACCCTAGGATCGACTGGCAGATCCCTAGGGTAGAGCTCCCTGACTATAGAGGGGATTATCAGCCTTGTGTCCTGGCTGATGAGTACCACCCAGTCAGCAGTTGCTATTGTATGAGGGCACACGAGTTCTTTCAGCTCTCTCGCCAGACTGCCGACACACGTTTGTTTGTTGCATATGTGAAACAGACTGGTGTGGATGTTACTCCCTGTCCCTCACCGATTCAGCAGGTTTTGGATCGATATCCAGATCTGATGCAGGAGCCTACTGGACTTGTCCATAGGCAGACCCAGCACAGGATCGAGCTCCTGCCGGGTACGGTCCCTCCAAGGGTTGGATCTACAGGATGCCACCTGCTGAACTCGATGAGCTCAGGAGACAGCTTGAGATCCTGACTAGCAAGGGCTGGATCAGACCCATCACATCTGAATTTGGGGCTCCAGTTCTCTTTGTCCCAAAGGGGAATGGAGAATTCAGGATGTGTGTAGATTACAGGGGTCTCAACAAAATCACTAGGAAGTTTACTGAGCCCCTTCCTAGGATTGATGATCTGCTGGACATGGTGCAGGGCTGCACAATTTTCAGCAAGATCGATCTCAAATCTGGCTACCACCAGATTGAGATGGCTGAAGGCGATGTCCACAAGATTGCCTTCAAGACCAAATACGACTTATGAGTACCTGGTCATGCCTTTCGGTCTTTGCAATGCCCCTGGCACATTCCAGACAGAGATGCATCGCATACTCAGGCCTTACCTGGACAGGTTTGTAGTTCTATACCTGGATGATATCCTGGTATTCAGTCGATCTGTCGAGGAGCATGCGCACATTCCAGACAGAGATGCATCGCATACT